TGGTCCTTTGACCTCTGACCTTTAATCTTTATATATATATTATATATATATATATTATATTATATATATATATATATATATATATATATATATATATATATATTATATATATATATATATATATATAATATATATATAATATATATGATATCTGAATGAAAAGTGGTTCTATGGGTACCCACGAGTCCTCCCCTTTGCAGACCATGCCCACTTTATGAAAAATCCATGAAGTTGTGGGCAAAAACCCTGCAGGTTTTTGCATGTAGTATAAATGTGATATTTGGCTTCTAGTCTTTATGCTAACTGAGCTATTGCCTGCTTGCTATAGCTCCATAATGCACAATTATGAGTCGCAATCTTCTCACATTACTCTTAAGAAGGAAGCAAATAAGTGGGGGCGTCTGGTGGGCGGTCAATATAGATTTTATACAGTGATTGCAATATCCCTGCTTTAATTACGGCTGTTTTAGTCTATTTTAGGATTAAGGGAGACACAATACCACGTAACTAGTGGAATTTATGTTCTCATCTAACTCTCAACAAGAAAGTGCCAAGCATTATTGGGGCGTGAACTTTTTCGGTTCTGAAGGGGGGGCACGCCAGAAAAGAGTTGAGAACCACCTGTTTTAACTGATGACCTTTAGGAATGCAGAAAGGTACATTTTTAGATGTAGGCTAGCTGTTTCCCACTTGTTTCCAGTCATGCTAAGCTAAGCTAATTGCACATTCACATTTAACGTGCAGACACGACAGTCTCAGTCTAGTTCCTAGCAAGAAAGCAAATAAGCGTATATCAAAAATGTTTGAACTGTTCCTTTTAATGAAACCTCTTTTATATCCATTCAATGAAGAAGTTTTTCTCCCAACTGTGTTTGTAGAGTTTGCAGCAGAATTCAAAAGCACAATTGCACTGATAATATGAATTGCGTTTGAGCTCAGGCTGTAAAGTGATTTTAGAGAAGCTGAGGTGGTCTGGCAGGCAGCTAGATCAAGATCAAGTGACACGTGAGCGCTGCAGTTGTACTCAGATTGCAGACCACAGCACATTAACAAAATCAATAGCCCTCCCAGCATACCACACACACACACACACACACACAACACCACACACACACCACACAAACCCACACACACACACACACACACCAATACCACCAATACCACCAGCAAACTGATGGGATGGTCTGTTTGAATCACTGAGTGGGTGTTTCAATATACAGTTAAGCTGAGTAAACATTTAGCTGCTGGTTATGCAACCTCTAGAAGTTGAACAATTTCATCACGTTACACAAGAATGTTTTTTAAAATTAACTCGGCATATGTTAACACTCACAAGAATCTCATCTTGTTTGTATATTCTGTGTTTGCTGTTGCTGTCGTCATATCATCTTTACTGTACTGTAGCACTTTACAGGACAGGTTCATACACTTTCATGGTGATTCTTTAAAATGCTTTTAAGTGTTAAGTTTGTTTTTCTTTCCTAGCGTTCTGATATAATGTGCCATTGATTTTTCGTTAAATATCTAATGTGGGAGTCAGACAAAGGAGGACATCACTTCATCATACTTTATGTTCATAGTGGGTTATATTGATACTTCTATGTGATACAAAGATCTTTAATAATGCAAGCTTTTTTGAGGCAGATTATTCATGTTAATTAGCAGTTGTGACTTTATACTGATGTTAGCTAAATCTAAAGGTGGAAATTAATAACAAATAAGTAAACGGCAAAAAACAAATAGTATATGTCATATTCATAAGATCAATCACAGGTGCTTTATTAATCCCAGTGAGAAATTGCAGTGACAGCCAAGTCATTCATGAATTACGAATCACGAAAACAAAAGCAAAATAAGGACACACACAAACCTTTAACTAGCAACTGAACTAAATAAGAAAACTAGGTCCATATTCTAAATATAGCAGCTGCGTGCAAATACATTAGAATGTGTTATAAGTCATGTATTAAATGTTGATATAGTGTTTATAAATACTGAATAGGGGGACCTGAAGTTGATATTGTGTATCCATCCTGGTCTTATTAATGTATTTTCAGGTGTTGGGTAACATTAACTTTAAATCACAAACTGACCTATTGAAGTATTTTAACTTTAAAAATATATGAATTACTATTTTTTTTCTAACATAAATATTGTTTCTAAAGTGTCTCTCTTATCGTCTGTCTCCTCTTTCGCTGCTCTATTTCAGGGGATCAGCAGTCTTTTCAGCTCACTTAAGGTGGTCCGGCTTCTCCGACTGGGTCGGGTTGCCCGTAAACTGGATCACTACATCGAGTACGGGGCAGCTGTACTGGTCCTGCTGGTGTGTGTTTTTGGACTGGCTGCTCACTGGCTGGCCTGCATTTGGTATGTTTATTAATGTATTATTACTTTTCATTTAGTGTTCATCAAACAATCTCCTACCTATTCTCACCACATCCTGTAATTACAGAATATGTATCAAACACGTCATTGTGGGTTGTTGTTGCTGTGGCATATAAATTACACAACACATTCTGACAGACTGTTGCGTTCCATCACTGTGATACATTAATAGCAGAGCCAATTAATATAATGAGGCCATTGATTGAGATAATTAATGCATTAATCAGCAGTTATTTTTTGTCAACATGCTTGTTTTCACACATTAAAACTGTATATTTTTCATACCTTAAAGCCAGAAAGTTATATAGTGGTTTCAGGAGAATTAGTTTTTCTCCATTAATATGCAAATTTATGGAGCGAAGGCCTCCAAAGTCTAATCAGATCATCTACTCTACAGGGGGCAAGTGTGGTGGAGGCATTACGTTTCCTTCGTGCGTTGTGCTTGATTTATTATGTTTATGAGAATGTCTCAAAACACACACAAACACACACAAACACACACAAACACACATACACAGACTGCTGTAGATGCCATCATGACAATGGCCTGCATACATAAAACAGGGATAATATGTTTGATAGTGATGATGAACAGCATTTAATTTTTAATTAATTATATATTTCCAATTATGCAAAATAACTAAAAGAATTTTTACACATTTTCATGTAAACACCCAGTTTAGTGTTTAGTCAAACACTTGACTTCATAGGATTACAAGGCATCTTTTAGTAATATATTCATAATCAAAATAAAGCATCAACCAGATCATTATGCAAGATGATACAAGATTTCAAACAGTGTTACTATGTAAGACTTCAAACGTTCAAACTGGGAGCCAGGAGCCAACAAGAGACTCTAACCAATATCATAAACAATGTTTATTGGCCCAGACAGTATAATGAAACCAGATTCAGATGCCAAAAAAAATAGATCCTGTATCGTTTCCCTTTGTGTGGTTTCTGTGGTTGCCATGGTCACACACCAAGCCACGGCATAGAGCTGAGAAAAGTTAAACCATAATCAATCATGATACCAGGGTAGTACATAACAAAATCTGTTACGCAAAATTCTCTGTGGTAATAATGTCTAGATTTACCACGAAAAATGATTCAAATTTAAAAAATGTTTACAGCTGAGAGACATCTTCTGGTGATGAGTAACACAACAGATCAGAGTATTTCCTTTTTAATGTTCACATCAACATGGGCCCATGTTTGCTGCATCACATATTCTGAAGTTTTGTTTTTCATCTCCAAGTGGAGAATATGACGTTTTTTTGTCAGTATGTAAATAATTACACAAACAATTTAGGATTAAAGAAAAGAGAAAAGTCACACTACCCTTCCTTCTAGCGCCACCAGACAGTCAAAGTTTATATTACAATATAAAATATCTGTACACTTACCATGAATTGGCACCAGATTTTGTACAGACATTCGTGGTTCCCAGATGATGAATCCTGCTGTTAATAATGAAACATGGTACAGATATTAATGTCGCTGTCAGGATGAATTGTAATAACTTAATAATAAGCGTCATCACCAAGTGAAATATTTTATTGCTCCAATACTTACTACTGTTAGACCCTTAGAACCGATGCCATTCCCATCAGCCTCAGCTGTATTGTGTAGTTGGTGCTAATTAGCAAATGTTAGCATGCTAATAGGCTAAACTAAGATGATGAACATGGTAAACATCATACCTGCTAAACATCATCATGTTAGCATTGTCAGAGTGAGCCTATTAGCATGCAAATCAAAACATTTAGCTTGCTGTGCCTAGTTACTGCCTCACAGAGCTTCTAGACTCTAGACTGATTTCAAACATATAAAGCGTGCCACACATCATTAGTAACACCTGAGTTTACCCTACTGTTTCATGTGACGTTAGCTGTTGTGAAA